TGAAAAAATGTTCAACATCACTTGTAATCAGGGAAATGCAAATCAAAACTACCATGAGATACCATCTTACACCAGTGAGAATGGCACATATTAAAAAAACTAGCAACAACAAATGTTGGCGAGGATGTGGAGAAAAAGGAACTCTCCTGCACTGTTGGTGGGAGTGCAAACTGGTCCAACCACTATGGAGAGCTTTGTGGAGATTTCTGGACCTACTAAACATAGAGCTTCCATATGATCCAGCAATTCCACTCCTAGGTATTTACCCAAAGGACACAGAAACATCAATTCCAAAGAGCACCTGCACCCGTATGTTTATAGCAGCACTATTTACAATAGCTAAGCTATGGAAACAACCCAAATGCCCAAAAATAGATGACTGGATCAAGAAGAAGTGGTACATATACACCATGGAATATTACTCAGCATTCAAAAAAGATAAACACATGCAATTTGCAGCAACATGGATGGCGCTGGAAGGGATCATGCTCAGCGAAATAAGCCAGAAAGAAAAAGAAAAATACCGGATGGTATCACTCATAGTGGGAATCTAGAAAACTTAAATAAGGGACCAGGAAAAGGAATAATTATAAGAAAGTGAAAATCAAAATCAACAAACAACTATGAACCAGAGACACTCTGTGGGTGGTGGGGTGCGGGGAGGGGAGGGATTGGGGTCAAAAAAAGGGGGTTGCAATTGTATGGGGAATATAAAAATAAAATTTATAATTATAAACAAAAAACAAAAAACCAAAAGATAACACAAGAAAACTAAAGACCAATCTCCCTTATAAATACAGATACTAAAACCCTTAATAAAATATTAGCAAATAGTCCAAGAATACATTGAAAATGTTATATATCTTGATCAAATTGTATTTATACCAGGAAGATGAGGATGGTTCAACATGTGAAAATCAGTCAAAACAATCACATGATCATGTCAATAGATGCTGAATAAGCATTCATTTATGATTAATCGAAAAACTTGGAATAATTAGAACATAACATAGTAAAAGACATGTATGACAATCCTACAGCTAGCATCATTCTCAATGGTGAAAAATGAAAGCCTTTCTTCTGAGGTCCAGTACAAGACAATGATTTGCACTCTCTCATCACTACTATTCAAAATAAAATTGGAGGTCCTAGCTAGAGCAATTAGATAAGAGAAATGTATAAATTGTATCCAAATTGGGAGAGAAGAAGTACAGCTATAACTATTTGTAAGTGAGAAGTTAATATACATAATGAACTCTAAAAATTCCATTAGAAAATTAATTTAAACAATAAGCCAATTTAGTAAAGTGTCAGGTTACACGAGCGTTACACAAAAATCAGTTGCCTTCCTCTATGAGAACAATGAGCTAGGAAAGGAAGAAATTAAGGAAACCATCCCATTTGCAATCACATGATGAAAAAAAACAAAGGTACACAGGAGTAAACCTAACAAGGGAGGTGAAGGATCTCAACAAGGAAATTTATAAGACATTGTTAAAGTATGCAGGATATAGAGGATGTAAAGAAATGGAAAGATATCCTCTGCTAAAGGGTTAGAAGAATCAATATTGTCAACATGGCCATCTCACCCAAAGCAATTAACAGATTCAGTGCAATCTCAATAAAAATTGTACTGCTTCATGGAAAAGAATGGTACAAGATGACTTTCTCATATTATACACAAAAATCAACTCAAAGTATATAAAAGACTTGGATATAAGATATGGAACCATAAAATACAAAGAAGAAAACAGGCAAAGTGCTCCAAGACATAAACCTGTGAAACATCTTTACAGAATTGTCCCCCAAAGCAAGGAAAACAAAAGAGAATATAAGCAATTGGCACTACATCAAACTGAAAAGCTTCTGCACAGCAGAAGATACTGTAAATAAAATGAAGAGGCGCCCTACTGAATGGGAGGAAGTATTTACACTCCATACATCTGACAAGGGACTGATATCAATAACTTGTACAACTCATCAAAAAGAAAACATAACCCAGAGGGAGGGAGGGAGGAGCACAGGGGACTGTGGTGATAGTGCATGGGTGCCTTGGGGAAGGAAATTCTATGGAGACTCAATCTGAGGAGGTGGGGGGAAGCAAAAACTGTCTAAAAAAATTTAAAAAATGATAAATGTTAAAAAAATAACCCAGTCAAAAATGGGTACAGCTGCTCATTAGGCACTTCTCCAAAGAAGACATACAACCGGCCGGCAGCACATTAAAAAAAAAAAAAGTTCATTATCACTTATCATCAGGGAAATGCCAATCAGAAACACGAGATACCATCTCACACCAGTGAGAATGAAAAAGACTATTATTGGAAAAGACTAAAAATAATAATTGCTTCAAAGGTGTTGAGAAAAATGAACCCTCTTTCACTGTTGATGGGAATGTAGTCTTTTCCAGACCCTGTGGAGCACAGTGGGGAGGTCCCTTAGAAGACTAAAAATGGATCTATTATGTGATCCAGCAATCCCTCTTCTAGGCATTTATAAGAAAAGCACTAATTTGAAAGTAAATCTACACTCCCATTTTTAGCGGCATTATTTACAATAGCCAAGATATGGAAATAATTGATATGCCCAGAAACAGATGTGTGGATCAAGATGATGTGGTATATATAAATAATGGAATAATACTCAGCAATCAAAAAGGATAGACTCATTCCATTTATATCTAAATGGATGGAGCTGGCAGGGCTTTTAGTAAGTGAAGCAAGCCAGAAGAGAAAGATAAATGCTGAATGGTGTCACTTACATGTGGAATATAGGAAAACGAAACCAGGGTCAGTGACAAACTTTATTACCCTTGCATTCTTACCATTAATCTTAGTCTTTCAGAGGAAATGGAGGGGGGCAGTAAGAAGGGTGAAAACAGGGTTATAGGAGGGAGGACACAATAGACTATAGTGGAGGACTATGGGAGCTTTGGTGGTGGGAGGGCTATAGTCACTGCACATGGGGGAGGAATATTCTGTACTGTCAAAATACTAGCAAGGATGTAAAATAACAGCCCTTTAATAACAGTACAAATTAAGAACAGAAAATAAAATATGCAGTTCATGGCTTTTATTGTATTCATAGAATTTTTCAACCATCATTATTAGCTGTAGTTTTTTTTTTTACTCCTCTGTTTTCTAAAGCAGAGCTAGACAATAGAATGATATTGTGAGGCACAATTTAAAAGTTTTTATAACCAAATTTTTAAAAAGGTGAAAAAGTGTTAGGTTAACTTAATTTATATGTAAACCAATTTAAAATGTTTTTTCAGTATTCAGTTAATGTAAATAATTATAAAAACATGTTTCACTTTTTTTGTGCTCTTGGCGATACTTTTACAGCAAATCTCAACTGAGACTAGCCATATTTCAGATGTTTGTAGCTACCCAGTTGCTACCATACTGGGCAGCATAGTCTTTAAATTTTTTGTCTGTATAAGGTATAAATTACTGATTTTGTGAATTCGTGTATTTCACAAAATTTGCATCTTTTGTATATAGCATCCTTTTTATTATTTGCATCTTTTGTATATAGCATCCTTTTTATTATTATCATGACTATCATATAATTTTCTCTTAAATTCTGTTTTGACACACCAGTTTTTCTTTTGTTTAATATTGCTTAATATATGTATTTACTTTTATTACTTATTTTTATCTTAATGTATCCTTAAGTTTTAATCTTGTGTCCTGTAAATAGCATATGGTTGGAATTTTTTCTTTATTCAGTATGGTACACTCTCAAAAATCTCTTGAATTTAATCTTCATATTTATCGCAATTACATATAGAATTCGACTAATTTCTATCATTTACTTTTTAGTGATTTTTTTTCGGTGAAGATTTAAATTATTTGATTTTTAGTCTCTCTTTAATGATTTGAAAGCTTACATTATATTATTGTTCTAGTGGTTATTATTAAATTAAAAATACTGAGTTGCGATTAATAATAAATTATGTGTGTATATTAACAAGTATATGTGTGTGCACATATGCATTTATTTGTATGTGTGTATATGAATGAAACTACCACCAGTTAAGATAATCAAGTATCAGTCAGCTCAAAAAACTGACTCATGCTCCTTACTAATCAGTTCCTGCCTCTCATCCTTTCATTTTCTTATTTCTACCTTCTCCTCTATCCCCAGACAACAATAGATTTAATAACCAACCTTATATAAGTGGAATCAAAGTATTTACTCTTTTTCATTTATCTTCTTTTCTAAGTATAATTACATTGAGATTCATGAATGTTATGAATATATGGATTATTATTTTTTTATTGTCATTTGTATTTCATTGTATGAATATACCATTTTGTTTGTCCATTTGCCTGTTGATGAACATTTTGGGTTCTTTCTATTCTTTAGCTGTACAAATGAAGCTGACAAATAAAGTGTGTTTTGATGACAGAAGTCTTTGACATTGATGTAGTCACATTTGTCAAAAATTTCTTTTAGATATGTTGCTTTTGGCATTTGTGTTCAGGTCCTATGTACATCCTTTTCATCATGATAATAGTAATTTGTAGTTTAAAATATTGTATATATTTTATCTGACATTTCTGAATATTTGTACTACAGATAGTCTATATTCCGCCCATTGCTGCTAGAATTAAAAGTGTAATATTTGAAAAAATGTGTGTTTGAAGACTTTATTAGTTTGTAATTCATAGACGTTTCAACTCTGCCAATATTCTTGGTCCAGTGGAGTATTTGTAACCTATAAATCTACTGTTTGTATATTGGCAAATATTATAGGTCATTTATTTTTTCCATCAGAGTTAATTAAAGATAAGCAAAAACTCAAGGGTAATTTATGGGGTAAATTATCACTAATGTATTTAATGCTGTAATAATACTGCAATAGAGTTTAATTAAATTGAAATAATTTACAGCCGCTCTCATGAAACTTAAAAGACATTTATAATTTTAATGGCCACTTTCTATTTGTATGTTCAACATCTAATTCCTTTTTATTTTTTCTTCTTGATTTTCAGATCACAAAATTTGTCCAGGACAGACATAGAGCTAGAAGAAACAGACTCCGTAAAGATCAGCTTAAGAAACTTCCTATACATAAGTTCAAAAAAGGTAAATGAATATTATTTTCTAAATAATCACCCTTAGTTTATTTTAGGGTACATGGTAATCACACTCTAATACTATCATCTGAGTGCTTGCTTACTCTATGCCTGAAAGTAATCGAGTAATGCAGAAGATGGTCTTTTGCTGTAGTGTACCCTGGTAATGACAAGAAGGGAAAACAGAGATCTTAATAATGAAACTGACCAAAATGCCTTTTATTATCACCATGCATCATCAGTTATAAATATCAGTGGATAAAATACTTCTTGCAATAGACTGACCTTCCCAAAGTGCCCTTCCCCCACCCCATTTTTTCTCCTACTGTAACAACTGTATTAACATTGCACTTGTTTAACACATAGTTTATAGTTTTGCATTAATTAACACATAGGTAGCTATTATGTATCAATACACTTTGCATATATTATTTCACTTAATTTTCATATTTCTATGAAATTGTCACTAAAATGGTTATTATGGATAAGAATATAGAGGGCCAGAGATGCATAAAACCTTAACATTACATAGCCAGTACTAACAGAGCTAATATAGTTTCTGCATTTATGCACCTATGTGTCCATGAGCTTTTAGTGCGGGACATGCTTGTTAAATCCTTTTGGCTAGTAGTTATCTGACTTTTAAAAATCATATACAGGTTAAAATGATCTGTATTTTAATTTATTTTTTATTTTTTTATTATTATTTTTTTTAATAATAAATTTTATTGTTATATTCCCCATACAATTGCAGCCCCCCCATTCTGACCCCAATCCCTCCCCTCCCGCCCCCGCCCCTCAAAAAAGTGTCTCTGGTTCATAGTTTTTTGTTGATTTTGATTTTCACTTTCTTATAGTTATTCATTTTCCTGGTCCCTTATTTAAGTTTTCTAGATTCCTGCTATGAGTGAGACCATCCGGTATTTTTCTTTTTCTTTTTGGCTTATTTCGCTGAGCATGATCCCTTCCAGCGCCATCCATGTTGCTGCAAATTGCATGTGTTTATCTTTTTTGAATGCTGAGTAATATTCCATGGTATATATGTACCACATCTTCTTGATCCAGTCATCTATTTTTGGGCATTTGGGTTGTTTCCAAAGCTTAGCTATTGTAAACAGTGCTGCTATAAACATAGGGGTGCAGGTGTTCTTTGGAATTGATGTTTCTGTGTCCTTTGGGTAAATACCTAGGAGTGGAATTGCTGGATCATATGGAAACTCTATGTTTAGTAGGTCCAGAAATCTCCACACAGCTTTCCACAGTGGTTGGACCAGTTTGCACTCCCACCAACAGTGCAGAAGAGTTCCTTTTTCTCCACACCCTCGCCAGCGTTTGTTGTTGCTAGTTTTTTTAATATGTGCCATTCTCACTGGTGTAAGATGGTATCTCATGGTAGTTTTGATTTGCATTTCCCTGATGGCAAGTGATGTTGAACATTTTTTCATATGCCTGTTGGCCATTTGCATTTCCTCTTCAGAGAAGTTTCTTTTTAGCTCTTCTGCCCATTTTTTGACTGGATTATTTTCTTTGTTGTTGTTGAGTCTCATCAGCTCTTTGCAGATTTTTGTGATCAATCCTTTATCATTAGTGTTGGGTGCAAAAATGTTCTCCCAGTTGGTGGGGTTTCTCTTTGTTTTTGTTATTGTCTCTTTTGCTGTGCAGAAGCTCTTTAATTTGATGTAGTCCCAGCTGTTTATCTTTGCCTTCACTATCACTGCTTTGGGTGATGTGTCTGTAAAGATGTCTTTGATGTGCAAATCACGTAGTGTTTCGCCTATATTTCCTTCTATATATTTTATGGTGTATTTTAATTTAGCAGAGAAAACTTAGTTCTTCCAAATATTTATTTTCCAAGTAATATATTTGTAAAATCTACCCTTGACAGGGAAGGAGGGTTAAAATGCGGACTATTAAAATGAGCCCAAGATTACTGTTTTCACTTTAAAATAGCTTATAAGCATAGACACCTTTATGTAAACCCCAAAACAAAAGTGAATAGAAGAAACAAAGGAGATAAAAATGGATTTGAAGAAACATTATGTAAAAGGAAACTATCAAAATACAAGGGAAAAGGACCTAGCAGTCCAGACAACTCATGCCTAGGTAGGATACACAGGTGGCTCCACACACTGGCTCCAGCAGTCTAGAGACCCTGCAAGACCAACATACTCTGGTAAGAGTGCCTAGGAATTAAAAGTGCCTAGAAATCCCACCCTAGACCACTGCAGTCCAGATGACTCATACCTAGGTGGGAGCCATGGGAGTTACCACTCATTGGCCCCAGCAATCCGAACTAACTACTCTTAGAAAAAACAAGAAGGCAAACAATGGGGAGTAAGAAAAATACAAACGGTCAAGTAAGCACTCCAGGAAACTATACACCACAGAAAGGAAAGCAGTACCCAGTACCCAACACTGACGTGGAAGAAATTTCTTACTGTCAGATGAAAAATTCAAAATAGCCGTAATTAAAAAAGTCAAACAAAATTCAGAAAAACAGATCAGAGATATATGAGAAGATACAGAAAGAAAAAGAATCCCATAAGAAATATAACAAATAGATGATTGAGATTGGAACTTTAAATAAATAAAGGAACTGCAGGAAGTACAACGATCAATGGAGGAGATTAAATACTTCAGGAAAAAAAACATGAAAATAGAATTAAAAAATGGAAGAATGAATCGGTAATCTCAAAGACACAGATACAAATAGAAACTAGAAGGAAAAGAAAGACAAATGAAATAGTATGAAGAAACCCTTCGAGGTTATCTGACTCCATGAGGAAAGGAAATATAGGAGTCATAGGAATCCCAGAAGGAGTGGTCAGAGACAAGGATGCTGAAAAGCTATTCAGGGAAGTAATTGAAGAAAACTTTCCACTTGAAGAAGAAATGAAAATGACATACAAGAAGCTTGAAGTATGTCAAGCTATCTTAATGAGAAGAAAACTACAACTTGACAAATAGTAGCTTCCGAGAATCTAAGAAAAAGAAAAAAATAATGAAACTGATCAGAGGGGGAAGAAACAATTAACCTATAAAGGAAAACTGATAAGGTTAACATCAGACTTCTCTCAAGAAAAGAAAAGAGTGACCTATTCAAAAAGTGCCAACCAAGAATAATCTATCCTTCAAAGCTCTGCTTCCTATGTGATGGAAAAATAAGGACTTTTTTCAGACAAACAAAATTCTTGGGAACTCACTACAACCCACTCCACACTTCAAGGAATATTACATGAAGCCTTAAGATATAAGACAACAAAGGAATCAACATGAAAAACTGAACAAAGAATTAAATAGAACCACAAAGTGATGAACAAAATTGCAATAAAAGACTTCTATTATTAATAATAATCCCAAATATTAATGGAATAAACTCACCAATAAAAAGACACTGAGGGGTCCTCTCTGGTGGCACAGGGGTTAAAGTCTCAGTGCTAACAAGCTATTGCCAGCCACTGTGGCATGCATTCTATCCCTAGTCAGGAAGGTAAACCACATGGTACAGCATACCTCTCCTGTCTTGCCTGCTGCACCCTTCAGCAGTGTATTTCAGTAGATCTGCCTGTTCTTCTCCCCACTCTGTCTATGATGAATCCTCTTACCCTCCCCACTACACCTCTGTCCTAGACCCCAATTCTTGTGTGCATAAATAAATAAAATCCTTTTTAAAAAATAAAGTAAGGCCTCCCCAGTGGCGCAGCGGTTGAGCACTGGGTTGCGAAGCTGCCCGCAGCCTCTGCTGCGCCGGTTCAATCCCCGGCTGTTCCCCGGCCACCGGAGGAGGGTCCCACATGGCGCGCAGACCTCTCCTGCCGCCTGCTGCTCCCCTCAGCAGTGTACTTCGGTCCTTCTGCCTGCTCTGCCCCCCGCTCTGGCTCTGGTGAATTCTCTCACCCTCCCGCGCTTCTGACTGTACCCAGTGCTTGTATAAATAATAAAAAAAAAAATTAAAAAAAAAATCTTTAAAAAAAAAATAAAGTAAAAAGACAAAGTACAAAAGCCAACCTTTTGCTGCCTCCCAGAAACACAGTTAAATTCTAGATAAATATTTAAGTAAGGGGTGGAAAAACAATTCTATAAGCAATTGGGAAGGATAGCCATACTTATATCAGATAAAGTATATTTCAGCTAAAAAAAGATGTCAAAAAACCTCGATAGACACTATATAATAATCAGGGTGGTAATGCACCAGTAAGACATAACACTCATCTTTTTGTACTGAACAAATGAGGGCGCACCAAAATACATTAGCCATTGGAGAAATTACCTATATGGTAGGAAATTCAACACCCTGCTCTCACCAAGGGCAGAGCAACAAGACAGAAATTAAACAAGGACACAATAGCTCTTAATGAAGATATAGATCACATGGGCCTAACCGACATTTATAGGACACTGAAACCTCCAAAAACCAAATACATATTTTTCTAAAGTGCACACAGATCGTTCTCTAAGATATACTACATACTGGCTCATAAGACAAACATCAATAAGTACATGAAGATTTTAAACATACCATGTATTTTCTCTGACCAAAATGTATGAAACTAGAAATCAACAAAAAGAAAGCAAGAAGATTCCTGTTTCCATAGACTGAACAATATGCTACTGAAAGACCATTGGGTAAATGAGGGAATCAAAAAAATACTTTGAGACAGATGATAGGGACAAAATGTTCCAGAATATATGGGACACATAAATAGCTGTGTTAAGTGAAAACTACAGAGCAATATAGGCCCACATCAAGAAACAAAAGAACCTAAAGAAATCATCTTTTCTCGCATCTTGAGGAACTGGTAAAAGAAGAAGAAGACCAAGCAACAACAACAGCAACAGCAACAACAACAAGAACAAACACCAAAAGACAATAGAAAAAAGAAAATATTAAAATTTAAGCTGAAATAAATTAAGTGGGAAAAAAAATTCAAAAGATCAATGAAACCAAAAGCAGTTTATTTGAAAAAATACATTAAATAGACAAATCTCTAGCCAGGCTTGCAAAAAAAA